TTATTGAAGAGATTGTCTTTTCTCCACTGTATATTCTTGCCTTGTTTGTTGTGGATTAATTGACCATAAGTGCATGGGTTTATTTCTGAGCTCTCTGTCCTGTTTCATTGATCTATGTGCCTTGTTTTTGTGCCACTATCATACTATTTTGATTACTGATTACTGTAGCTTTATAGTATAGTCTGAAGTCAGGGAATGTTGATTCCTCCAGCTCCGTTCTTCTTTTTCAAGATTGTTTTGGCTATTCAGGGTTTTTTGTGTTTCCATGTGAATTTTAAAATTATTTCTTCTAATTCTGTGAAAATACTACTGGCATTTTGATAGAGACTGCACTGAATCTGTAGATTGCTTTGGGTAGAGTGGTCATTTTAACAATATTGATTCTTCCAATCCAAGAACATGGTATATCTTTACATCTGTTTGTGTCATCTTCAGTTTCTTTCCTCAGTGTCTTGTAGTTTCAGAGTACAGGTCTTTTCTCTCCTTAATAAATTTATTCCTAGGGGTTTTTTTTTTTGTCTTTTTTTTTTGATGTGATAATAAATGGAGTTTCCTTAATTTCTCTTTTTGACACTTTGTTGTTAATGTATAGAAATGCAACAGATTTCTGTACATTAATTTTGTACCCTGCAACTTCACAGAATTCATTGATGAAATCTAGTAGTCTTCTGGTGGCATCTTTAGGGTTTTCTATGTAGTGTATCATGTCATCTGCAAACAGTAAAGGCTTTACTTCTTCCTTTCCACTTTGGACTCCTCTTATTTGTTTTTCTTCTAGATTGCTGTGGCTAGAATTTCCAAAACTATGTTGAGTAAAAGTAGCGAGAGTGGGTATCCCTGTCTTGTTCCTGAACTTAGAGGAAATGCTTTCAGCTTTTCACCATTGAGTCTGATGTTAGCTGTGAGTTTGTCATATATGGCCTTTATTATGTTGAGGTATGTTTTCCTGTATGCCCACTATCTGGAGGATTTTTAATTATAAATGGATGTTGAATTTTATCAAAAAGTTTTTCTACATCTATTGAGATGATCATATGGTTTTTATTCTTCAGTTTGTTAATGTGGTGTATTGTATTGATTGATTTGCAGATATTGAAAAAAATCCTTGCATCCCTGGGATAAATTCCACTTGATCATGGTATATGATCGTTTTAATGTATTATTGGATTTATTTTGCTAATATTTTGTTGAGGATTTTTGCATCTATGTTAAATGATATTGGCCTGTAATTTTCATTTTTTTGTGTTAGCTTTGTCTGGTTTATCAGGGTGATGTTGACTTCATAGATTTGAGTTCAGAAGTGTTCCTCCCTCTGCAATTTTTTCGAATAGTTTGAGAAGAGTAGGGATTAACTCTTCTCTAAATGTTTGATAGAATTCATGTTTGAAGCCATCTGGTCTTGAACTTTTGTTTGTCGAGAGTTTTTTAAATTATTGATTCAATTTCATTACTGGTAATCGGTTTGTTCATATTTTCTGTTTCTTCCTGATTCAGTCTTGGGAGATTGTACCTTTCTAAGAATTTGTCCATTTCTTCTAGGTTATCCATTTTATTGGCATATACTTGTTCACAGTAGTCTCTTATGATCCTTTGTATTTCTGTAGTGTCAGTTGTAATTTATCCACAATAAGCAGTTAAAGGATACATAAAACAGTTAGATTTAAAATATGATATCAAAAACAGTAATCATGAGGGGAGGAGAGTACAAACGCAGGGTTTTTAAAATGCATTTGAAATTAAGAGATTATCAATTTAAAACAATCATGTATATATATAGACTACTATATAAAAACCTTGTAGTAACTGCAAACCAAACAATCTATAATAGATATACACACAATAGAGAAAATGAAATTCAAACATAACAATAAAGATAGTCATCAAATCACAAGAGAAGAGAACAAAAGAAGAAGAGAGGGGGAAAAAAGACCTACAAAAGCAAATCCAAACCAATTAACAAAATGGCAATGAGAACATACATATCAAAAATTACCTTAAATGTAAAGGGACTAAGTACTCCAACCAAAAGACACAGAGTGGTTGAATGGCTACAAAAACCAAGACTTGTATATATGCTGTCTACAAGAGACTCACTTCAGATCTATAGACACATACAGACTGAAAGTGAAGGTATGGAAAAAGTTATTCCATGCAAATGGAAATCAAAAGAAAGCGGGACTAGCAATACTTATATCAGACAAAATAGACTTTAAAATAAAGACTGTTACAAGAGATAAAGAAGGGCACTACATAATGATCAAAGGATGAATCCGAGAAGAAGATATAACAATTATAAATATATATGCACTCAACATAGGAGCATAAGGTAAATATTGACAGGCATAAAAGGAGAAATTGACAGTAACACAATAGTAGTCGGGGACCTTAACACCCCACTTTAATCAATGGACAAATCATCATCATCAACATAGGTCTTAAATAGCACATTGGACCAAATGGACTTACTTGATTATGTACAGCATCCCATCTGAAAGCAGTAGAATACACATTTTTTTTTTCAAGTGCACATGGTACATTCTCTAGGATAGATCACATGCTAGGTCATAGAATGAGCTTTGGTAAATTTTTAAAAATTAAAATCACATCAAGTATCTTTTCTGACTGCAACACTATGAAACTAGAAATCAACTACAAGAAAAAAACTGCAAAAACACACACACACATGGAAGCTAAACAATATGCTGCTAAACAACCAATAGATCACTGAAAAAAATCAAAGAGGAAATCAAACAATACCTAGAGACAAATGAAAATGGAAACAGGATGATCCAAAACCTATGAGATGCAGCAAAGGCAGTTCCAAGGGGAAAGTTTATAGTGATACAAGCTTACATCAGGAAACAAAAATCTCAAACAATCTAACCTTACACCTAAAGGAATTAGAGAAAAAACAAATAAAACCCAAAGTTAGTAGAAGGAAAGAAATCATAAAGATTAGAGCAGAAATAAATGAAATAAAGAATAAAAAATAATAGAAAAGGTCAATGAAACAAAAAGCTGATGCTTTGAAAAGATAAACAAAATTGATAAGCCTTTAAGAAAAAAAGGGAGAGGGCCCAAGTCAATAAAATCAGAAACGAAAGAGAAGTTATAACCAAGGCCACTTGTTTCTTGCAGTTTTAAATATATTAGCAAGAGTCTCCGTATAAGATGATAAGCACAAAACTATATCCACCAGAAGTTGAGCGTGCTTTCATTTTTTTCTTAGGACCCCTTAGGGAAATACCTGAAACTGTATTCTAGAGGGCCACGGATAATGTGTGGATCTATATTAAAGTACAGAAAATTTTTTAAAATAAATTTTTACCTTTGCATTTATTAAAAGTACTGAAATGTGATGATATGTTGGAATTCTATAAAGAGTTGTATCTTATTTTAGGATGGTCTTCACATTACCCTCTACAGTCCCTTCTAACTGGTTATCAGTGCAACTATAATGATGAGCACACTTCCTATGGAGAAACAGGAGTCCCAGTTCCTCCTTTTGGATGCACCTTCTCCTCCGGTAAGAGGATTACTACATAAGCTAGGCTTGGTCAGAAATGATCTATTCTACACTTCAGAGTGAAAATATATTGGGGTGTCTCCCTTTCAAGAAAGAGTAAGTTAGATAGATGGTAGAGTTCTTCTAATAACTGTTCTCTCCTGATTTATGAAAGACTTCTCTTAACTCCTATGCATAATTATATACTACTGCTAAAGCATAAGACTATTATAGCACCACTTTTTTTTTAACTTTCATGGGGAAAGCATTGCAAAGGTTCAGCCATCATGAAAACTTCTTCCCCTTTTGATCTGATTGAATCTACCTCTTTATGTAATGCATTGGGGATCATATTAACCAAAATAGAAATACTTGTCCACACTATTAAAAGTTGAAGAAAGGAAAAGTAAAAGATTGTGAAAAGGGAATATAAAATTAATAGACTCAGTCTGCTAGTGGCCCGTATCATACGCCTTTATTTGCCATTGGTCAATACCACTCTTGTTCTAAGTGTCACCCTTGATTCAACCCTTCTCTAAATAAGATACTATTTGAAGATTATTTTGATGTTTATGAGTCATTTACTGAATTACATATTATGGCAAATTTTAAGCAATCTTTTAATTCAAAAACCTTTCTATCATAGCAGTTGCTATTTGGGTCAAATCATCTTACCTCTTTTTTTTTTTTTTTCCCAGGGAAAGGTAATTAGGTTTACTTATTTATTTTTATTCTTTGGAGCCGGTACTGGGGATTGAACAGAGGACTTCGTGCATGCTTTGCATGTGCTCTAGTGCTTGAGCTATACCCTCTCCCATCTTACCTCTTTTTAAACAGGTTCTTTGTTTACTTTGTTGCTTTCAATTAATCTATATTGTTTATATAGCTTTAAACTCAGCTTTAAGATTTTTTTATTACTCTTTATATATTTAATTCTTTATTTCTTATTTTAGCTCCCAATATGGAACATATACTAGCAGTTGCCAATGAAGAAGGCTTTGTTAGGTTATATAACACAGAATCACAAACCGGTAGAAAGAAGTGCGTCAAAGGTAAGTCGAGGTCTAAAATATTTATTTTAAGATGATTTTTAATTCATAAAGCCTCAAGGAAATTATTATTGGAATACTTCCTCAATGATATTCACTTCTGATTAAGTCTGTTTAGGGACCAGGCTGAAAGTAAATGGTGGAGACTGACTTTCTATCAATAACTGTTAACTACAGCAAAGTCTTTACTGAAAATTAAGAAAAATACATTTTAGGATTAAAAACAGTTCTTCTTTGAAAAGTTAAATTTTTTATACTTAATGTGGTTGGGGGAAACATTGTTTTGAAGTATTTATGTTGACCAAGCATCTTCCATACATAAGGCAAAGTTCCGCTGACTGTTAAATTGGGACTAGTAAGTTAAGTGTTAAAATAACTAAAATAAAACAAAGACTGTAAGTGAAGTAGAAGAAATACAAAGAAAATGCCACAGGTGTCACTAAAAACTTTCATGTAGTAAAGAAAGTGAGGAAAATTTTTCATGAAGAATGGGACAGTTGAGTTGAACTGTGGTACTTAGACCAATGGAGATGGAATAGGACACTCCATGTAGATGGAGAAGCATTAGCAAAGGCCAAAGATAGGAAAGCATAGGATATAATATGGAAATAGAGTGTGATCTAGTTTGGTTGGAATAATAGAGAGAAAATGAGAGATATGGCCAAAGTGAGCAGCACTCTGAATATCAAACTAAAGTACTTTAGAATCCATTCAGAGAGCATGATGAAGACTGAGAATATTTCACAGATTCCATTTTAGAGAATATACTACTAGTCACCTCATGGAAAGCAATTTCATAGCAAATGGTAGTGTGATGTGGTAGTGAAGGGAACGTGCAATGCGTGTGAGTCCGCAGTTCTCTTTGGGTGCTGACTGCTACAGCTTTCAAGACTTTCAAACTGTTGTTGAAACGGCTACCACAGAACATAGTCTAAACATTTCACATTCACCGTTTTCTTTGTTTAGAGTGGATGGCTCACTGGAATGCTGTCTTTGACCTAGCCTGGGTCCCTGGTGAATTTAAGCTTGTAAGTGACTTTCATTTTACTGGGATCTGGGTAAACACTTGTAAAGGGTTGCTTTATTAAACTGATACCTTATTTTTGAAAGGTTACAGCAGCAGGTGATCAAACAGCCAAATTTTGGGATGTAAAAGCTGGTGAGCTGATTGGAACGTGCAAAGGTCACCAGTGCAGTCTCAAGTCAGTTGCCTTTTCTAAGTTTGAGAAAGGTAGGTTTGTGCTTACCCTCTTTCTTCTCCTTAACCGCCTTCATGTTCCACTGTATAGTATTTATGGCTTCATGATGAGGTAATAAGCTGCAATTGTTTCCACCCTTTCCCCTGTCAGAGTTGCTCCTTCACCTACGTAGATGATTTGAGATTTTTAACATGATTTGAAAACCTCAATGAAATTAAGTTGGGTTTTATTTCCATTCTAATAGACATTATCTCCAGTTTGTCCCTGAAAGTCAAGCATCTTCAGTAATTTTTTTTCTATAATCTTGCAGATAAGGTAAAAGTTCACAAATGGCCACAATACCTCTGTTGAACTTTGCATGACATTTGAGGTCAAACCCAGTACTGGACATTGATTAACTCCTTGTAAAATAGTTACTTTAACTCTGCTTGTAAAATTTAAATGGGTTTGAGGCTGGGGTGGGAAACCTGATCAACTGGACATGATTCTCTACTTAAAAATTTACCATGTAGTTACTTTAAATGGCTCAGTTCCCTCATATGTATTCAACTATTATTTACTCACAATTAATCTTTCTATATTTATTTTACTATTATAGGAGAAGGAAGACTTAAAGAGTGATACAATACAGAAGAGTACCATAGCGACTAGGGAAAAACTTAGCAGGAGTGTCTGAATGAGCTCTTCATTTCTGGTTTTTGTTTTCTTCTTCTTCTGTTTGCTTTTCACTAAATAAGGGACAATCAACATTTATCTCAAAGAAGTGGCTGAATCTATCTGACTTTAATCTTAGACTATTAGAGACAAACATTGCAATCTTTATCATTTAAAAATACTCTGTTTTTAAAAGGAATATGTTCATTTATTCACCTGAGCACCTGAGGAATATTTAAACTGAGTTGTTGAGCTCGTTTGGACTTTTAAAAAAAGATCAGTTTTAATCTAGTTTGGTTGCTTTTGAGACTGGAACCTTTAAGAGGAAATACATGACATAGTTTTTTACCTCTGCATAACTTCATTAACACATCTATTGTATAAAGTTAGATATGCTTGTGTTCTAGTTTACTATACTCCTATGTCAGAGTTCACTCTGAGTTTATAAAAATAATTTAAGATCATGAAAATTTACTAAAGGTAGATTTGTTTATTTGAAGGGTAATAGAAAAGGGAAACACTATCTTTTGGTCCCTTTGCTTAATTTTTAAAACTCTGTACATTGAATCTATGCCAATATAGTCTAGTAGAAAAAGCACTAAGTGAGGCTTTTATTGTGGCGCCCAGTAGTCCACAGATGTCCTAGTGTGAATTAGTATGGTTGGACCCTGCCTCCAAGGCCACATAGTTTGGTTGTTATACACAGATTTGATTTTACTCCCTACTCCCTCAGCCAAATGCCCTTGTGCAAGGCACACTTTTACAACCATAGAACACCTGTGTTTTGTTCTGATTTCTGTCTCTAAATTCTTGGACAAAGTCATTTTATCTCCCTGAATCTTCATTTCCTCATTTAATGAGATAAATACATATTCTATTTGACTCACAAAAATATCATAAGCATAAAAATGAGGTGAGATGTGAATGCGCGCGCACACACACACACACACGCACAACTGAGGAGCGTATAAACGCCTGGTGTTTTATTTTATTTTTTGTAAGTAGCATAGTAGAAAAGATCATGATACAGTTCTTTCAACACTACAAGGGCTGGATACAAATAATCCTAATAAGACATAGTTATACTAATGGAATTTGCCTTCTCTAAGTATCTACCACCTGTAAATAAGAAAAATGCTTTCATGTCTAATTGTCAGTTGCTCACAGATGTGTTTTGTGTGACAGAAGAGTTGTTAGAACTTTTAGTGGGTATTTAAAAATGATTATAAGTATATTTCCATTTCCTCTCCTACAAACTTACCTTCAAATTTGCACCTTCTTTTTCATTCTTCATTATCCAGTTTAAGGCCAGTCCTTCTTGCTAAACCACTGGTTCTCAGCCATGACTGCACATTAGTCATCTGGAGAGGTTCTTTAAGATAACAATTAAATATGAATCTCTAGGACGTGAACAAGGCATCTACTTTTTTAAAATTCCTCAAAGGATTCCAATGTGCAGCCAAGGTTGAGAAACATTTTTGATTCTCCCCAAGACCTTATGCCATCACTTATATCCCCACAGCTCCTATAGCCTCCTCTCCTTCTCATGGCTCTTTCTCCTTAAGAAAAACTATGCTTCTATCTGTGGTCTGTCTGAAAGGAAACAACCTTTAGTATGCTCCATTAGCTATCATCCTTTTTTATTTCCTATCTCTTCTAAGTTTCTTAAGTGCAATCAAAAGCTGGTTAAATGTCCTCATCTCAGTTTGGTTCAATCTGTTTTCCACTCCCATCTCTCTTCCTGAAATCAGCCTGCCTTCTATTTGTTCAATATTTGACACTTCTGACCATTTATTTTAAAATTTATAAATTTTTTTTCTTTGGAATCTGTGATACCACTCCTGGTTCTCAGTCTTTCTCTTTATTCCTTCCTAGTTGCTTTTGTGAACTCCGCTTCTTTACCTAACTTGAAGTGTTGGCATGGTCCAGAACTCGGTATTTGACCTTCTTTTCTTTCAATGTCTACCTTCTCCTGAATAGTTTCATCTATTTTAATTTTGTTTTGATTTTATCTTCATTCTTAAAGGATGTTTTTGTTGGCTATAAAATCCTGAGTTCATGGGTTCCTTTCCTTTCATTACTTGAATATACTGTTCCACTGTCTTCCATGGTTTCTCTTGAGAACTCTGGTCATTCAAATCATTTCCCTGCATGTAATGTGTTATTTTTCCTGACTGCCTTCAGAATTTTCTATCTTGGTTTTCAGCAATTTGACTATGATGACTAGGTATGTTTTTCTTCAAAGTTATCCTGTTTGAAGCTTGCTGAGCATTTTTGAATTTGTAAATTTACAGAGGGGTTTCACTGAATCTGAGAGAATTTCTGCCATTCTTTTTTTTTTGGAGGGGGTGTTAATTAGGTGAATTTATATATTGTTTGTTTTTTAATGGGAGTCCTGGGAATTGAACCCAGGACCTCGTGCATGCTGAGCATGAGCTCTGCCACTGAGGTATCCCTCCTCCGTCCTCTGCCATTGTTTCTTGAAATATTTTTTATGCCCAATTTTTCTCTCCTTTCCTGGGACTCCAATTATTCATGTATTAGACTTTTTGAAATTTTCCCATGAATCTTTGAAGCATTGTTCATTTTTTTAGTTTTCTTAACCTTGAGATATAATTAACATACCATAGAAGTGTACATTTAAATGGCTTTTAATTTTCTTACAGAGTTATGCAACCATTACCACAATCTAGGTTTACAACATTTTCATCAGCCCAAAAAGAAACCAGAACCCATTAGCATTACTTTCCATCTATGCTGGCCCTATACAACCACAAAACTACTCTCTGTCTCTATAGATTTGCCTATTCTGCACATTCACGTAAATAAATGGAACCATATAATATGTAGTTAACTTCCTTCACTTAGCATAATGTTCATTCTTCTCTCTTCCTCGAATTGAATTTCTATTGACCTGGCTTCCAAGTTAACAGATTTTTTCCTCTGTTCTCCGTTCTGTTCTTAAGCCTATCCAGTGATTTTATCACTTCAAAAGTTGGAGATTTTGGTTCTAAAATTTCCATTTGTATTTGATAAATTCTGTTTGTTTCTCTGCTGAGATTTCTCATCTTTTCATTGGTTCTGGGTGTCTTATTTCTTTACTTCGCTTGACATAGTTATATCTGTGTTATAACCTGACCTGATAAATCAGTATCTGGGTTGTTTTGTGGTTGGCCTCTATTGATTTCTTTTCCCTTGAGAATGACTTATTTTTCCTGGCTCTTTCCATGACAAATAATTTAAGATTATACCCTGGGCATTGCAAATGGTATATTGGACCCTGGATTCTGTTATGTTGCATAGAAAAGGGTTGATGTTTTTGTTTTAATAGGCAGTTAAATCAGACTCAAATTATATATTATGTATACAGTTAAACCTGCCAGAAGGCAGTTAATTCAGAAGATCTGATCTCAATTCAGTACTTTAAGTCTTACCTGCAAGCTGCTTTTAGTTTTCCCATATATATGGTTTAGGAGTGACCCAGAGACTTGTGCTAAGTTTAAATATAGAATTAGAGTTTCCCTTTCTCTGCTCTGTCTAGGGTTCCCCACACCCTCTGGCAGCTCTTGTTGCCCTGGGTCTCCTTTCCTTAGTTCCTCTAGCTTGAAAGATGGTCTTTCTATGGGCACTTTAGCTGCCTGGTAGTGATGCTACAATTGTGGCTGCCCTCAAGGTAAAACCACAGAAAAGCCAGTAACTTGCTGTAGGCCAATCACTTGCTTCAGGTGTTGACACCCTTCCACAAACAGTTTTTGTTCAATCTTTATAGGGCCCTCAGGTAGTTGTTTTTTATATTTTGACCAGAGTGTATAGCTAATGCAGGTGGATTAATTTGCTAAGTCCTCACTCTTTCAGAAACAGAGGGGGTTTTTTAGGTTTAATTTTAAAGAATAAAGCATGACAGATAAATTGGAGTTCCCCTGTGTCCCTTCCTCCAATCTCATTGCCCTTTTCCCACCCCAGAGGCAGCCTCTTTCACAAATTTTATATGGATATGGTCCATATTTTTTATACTGAGACAGTACAACTTGGAGGTTTGGAGGTTTGGAGGTTTGGAGGATGGACTGGCTTCATACTGCCAGAAATACCTTTGCAAGTTACTGATCCTCTCTGTGCCTTAGTTGCTCAACTGTAAAACAGGGATAATAATACTCACCCACTAGGGCTGATAACAAAGATTGAGGTCATTTATAAAAAAGCACTTAGTAAGCACTCAGTATATTTTGGTTATTGCTTATTTATCATATTCTTACTACAACTTTACTATATAGTATAGTATAGTATTTTATGTATTTTTAAGAGAACTTACAGGGAAGGATTCTAAAGTTTTTGCTCAACATAAGCATTTTGAGTTCTTTATAATCCTTTCCCTTCACAGCTTTGTTTTCTCTTATTTGTGTTGAGCTATATATTTTATCACTTTTAATCTCCAGTGCCAACCAATTACAGTACTAGCATATAATAGATACTCATGGAAATTTACATTGAAATGTATGTGTCATTGACTGCTTTTGTTGACTTCTTGATAAACTGTTTTTTTGTCTACAGCTGTCTTCTGTACAGGTGGAAGAGATGGCAACATTATGGTCTGGGACACCAGGTGCAACAAAAAAGGTAATCTAGTTCCATTTTGATGTTGATAAATGTGGCATTGCCCCATTATGGTGAATGAAAGAGTTAGTGATTTCACCTCATTACCACCAGGGGGCACATGTTCATAATCCCCCGATTCGGCTCACTGTTCAATTCTTAAGATCTTAGTGAATGTTCCAAGTATTATCCTCCGTATTTACCTCATATTGTCTTGTAAACTGTAATGCCATTTACCTAAATTATTGATGGAATTGAAATTATTAATACATGGTCTCACTAGTAAATGATCGTTTATTTTAGTTTTTTTAAATTTGAAGCTTTAAAGAATTGGATTAAATTAAATATAATTATGCTCACATTGCCCCATGATGCCATTAAGCAGAAAGCAATGATCATCTCCCTGCTTACTTCCTTTTTTAAAAAATTACTTTTTAATATACTATTTTTTAGAGTAGTTCTAGATACACAGCAAAATTGAGCAGACTGTGCAGAGTTCTCTCTGTACTAATATGCTCCCTGTCCCCACACAGCCTCTCTCCCTATTAATATCTTGCACCAGAGTTGGATATTTGTTACAACTGGTGAACCTACACTGACACATTATCACCCAATGTCCGTCTATACTTTACTTTATGGTTCACTCTTGGTATTGTACATTCTACTAATTTTGACAAATATATAATGACATGTATCTACCATTATAGTATCCAGAATAATTTCTCTGCCCTCAAAATTCTCTGTGCTCTGCCTCTTCATCCTGTCCTCTCTCCAACCCCTGGCAACCACTGATCTTTTACCATCTCCATAATTTTGCCTTTCCCAGAATGTCTTATAATAGGAATCACATAGTATGTAACCTTTTCAGATTGCCTTCTCTCACTTAGTAATGTGTATTTAAAATTGGTTCGTGGCTTGGTATCTCATTTCTTCTTAGCATGGAGTAATATATCATTATTATTCTGGATATATCACAATTTATTCATACATTCCCCTACTGAAGGACATCTTGGTTGCTTCCAAGTTTTGGCAATTATAAACAGAGCTGCTGTAAATGTCCATATGCTTATTTCCTTTTCATGCATTATAATATCACCACAAGAGATGTAGTACAGGATCTCTGCTGGCTTCTAGTTTCACTAATCTAATAAAGAACATAATTAATTTTGAGACTTTATATATAAATATTATATTCAGCATGGATATGAAGTTCTGAAACCTAAACCAATTTCCTTGGAATATCTTTCAGATGGATTTTATAGGCAAGTGAATCAAATCAGTGGAGCTCACAATACCTTAGACAAACAAACCCCTTCAAAACCTAAGAAGAAACAAAATTCAAAAGGGCTTGCTCCTTCTGTGGTAAGGTTTTATAGCTGAATACATGTGTGCAGATCTTGACAATAAGATGGAGTCTCATTTAAGGGAATTCATTAGGCATAAAATAGGAGCTAGAGATAAAGTCAGTGAATGAGAATCTTCATTTCCTCTTGATATCAGTGGTTTATTGCTTAATACTTGTTCAGTACCTACAGTAGTGGTTCTCAAACTCTAGTGTACAACAGAGTCACCTGGGAAATATTGTTAAAAATTCAGCTTCCTGAGACTCATCCTAGAAATTTCCATGCATACTCTTCATCTGCAGTAGAATGTGATTCATTAGGAAAGAGGAATGGGTTGTTTGAAGAAGCATGTTAAGTACCATGACACAGTATTGTGTAGGAGAAAGCAATCCCTGTTGTTGTTTCCATAATACAAACTACAGAAAAGATGAGAGTTTTTTTTTTAATATTTGGCAGAAGATTATTAAATATATTGAGAAAGTATGGTACCTCTTGAGCATCTTGTAGTCAAAGCTCCAAAGCTCAAATAATGCTCATAATATATCTTTTTTCTTAAAAAAAATCATCAGTTAAAGTTCTTACTTTATTTTGTTTATTTTTCTAATATTCCTGGTCTGGGGTCTAAGTTAATGTTTTGGAGAAGTGGGGAAGTGGTTGCTAGAACATTAAGACTTAAAACGGCACAGACATGAATGAAACTGGCAGGGTAAGTAACATTTCAGACATTTCATCAGATTCTGAGTTAAGAAAACTTAAAAGCAATTGGGAGATAAAACTCCACTGAGCTCCTTTAGATTTTTCAGAGTGTGTAATCATCTTTCATCCATAATTCTTTAGACACTCCTGTATGATAATCTGGGTAGATGGCAACAATTTATAGATGAAACAGGCACAGGTTAAATGACTTTCCTAAGGATACACAGGGATGATTCCAAGTAGAGGCAGTAGGCTTACAGAAGTACAAATATCTTTTCATCACCAGCTTTGTTTTTGTTACTGTTCTTTTGTTTTGTTTTATTTTTTGAGTATAGGTCAAAGTGTACATATTATGTAATAAAATTTGATATTTAGGTCATTTTCTTGCTAAAATTACTTTTTGGTCTGCATATATATCTAATTAGGATGATTGGAGAGGGAAGATAAGTTTAGGGGGAAAAGCCATCATGTTAGCACCTTGGTCTCTTGATAGTGAAGATTGTAATGACCAAAATGGGATTTCTTTCTTTTCTTTTTCTTCCTTGTGCTGTTAGGATTTCCAGCAGAGTGTTACTGTGGTCCTCTTTCAAGATGAGAATACATTAGTCTCAGCAGGAGCTGTGGATGGGTAAGAAAAGTCTTTATTTCTTGGTTCTTTTGATGAGCTGTCTTTCATGAACTGTGATGGGGAAGTCACTTAATCCCATTATAATTTAATGTGTGTGCTTTTAACTTTCAACATAGTGAGTACCCAGCTGAGAAGACGAACTACAGATCACACTGGAAAATACCCAGTAGGACTTTTGCTCAAATAATTAAATGAGATAACGTGTTACACTTAGCACACTGCCTAGCACACAGAAACAGTGCTGCTGCTGCTATTGCAGAGAAGCTGGATGGGTAGCTTTCTTGTCTGGGCAATATAATTTAACCAACAAGTCTTATTTTTAGGAGTGAAATTTCTGTTACAGGCATACATCAGAGATATTGCGGGTTTGGTTCCAGACCACCGCAGTAAAGTGAGTCATGTGAAATTTTTGGTTTCCCAATATATATATTAAAGTTATGTTAATATTATACTATAATCTATTAAGTGTGCAATAGCATTGTGTCCAAAAAAATCAATGTACAGACCTTAATTTAAAAATACTTTATTCCTAAAAAAAAAAAATGCCAAAACAATTACAATAGTAACATCAAAAATCACTGATCACAGATTACTGTAACAAATATAATAATGATGAAAAAGTTGAAATAATTGGGAGAATTACCAAACTGTGACACAGAGACATGAAGTGAGAAGATGCTGTTGGAGAAATGGACTATAGACTTGCTCTATACACAGTTGCCACAAACCTTCAATTTGTGAAAAAAAAAATGCACAGTAAAATGAGGTATGCCTGTAATTTTGGATTTTATTTTCTCAGGTTTAGTAATATCCTAAAAGAAGGAATATGATTCTGGACATGTAACTGGCATTTCTGGGAGTAGTCTAACTAGATTGATAATAAGGCCTAAGGACTTTCACATACTTTCCATTCATTATTGATCTGAATTTTTGGCTTCCAGATAAGTTTGTGGTACTTCTTGATTGGTTGCTTGGCCGGAATTTAAGTTCATTGAGTATAGGGACTCTTTCTTTTTAAAGCACTCTTCTTTGCCCCCATTTTGCCCATTATAATATCTTCCAAGACAGATCCCCCTTCAAAAATTGTAATTTAAAAAGATGACGGCTTGATAAACTGGGACTTCTATTGTGTCCTCTGAACGCTTAAACTATTCTGTGAACCAAATTCTCAGGCACAAATGAAGGATTATCTAAAGGTTATTAGTTTTATTTGTAAATTGCTGTGAAAGTTTTGTTTCCAAGGATACTGCCCTTCTTCACCAAGCTTGTGCTTTTAAGTTGCCTACAGACTAGATGTAGAAAATTAAGAAAATTATCTCAGTAGATGAAATGAAAAAAATAACTATTTCACAGGAAAATTTAGACTAGATTACTTAAGAAGTTACTGTGTAGAGATAGAACCATAGGGACAGAGCATAATGCTTAGTGATGTCAAAGGTTACATGCGAAATATTAAAGGCATAGGAAGTGTGGTGTTTTGTTTTGTTTTGTTTTGTTTCTGAAAACAATGAAACAATGACTATCAGCACTTAACCTTCATCTTCCTTTTCCGCTCCCTTGAAGTAAACTCAGGGCAGTGTATCAGTGGGTCAGATCACATCTGTTTCCGTTCTGCCAGAATTGTCAGCCTGATATTGGAGACAACAGTATGAGATAGTTCAGTCTGTTTCCCAAAGAGATATCTTCACTGTACCTGGTTGATGTGCCAGAGGAGTTAGATTAAAGTCATTTTATGTTCAAATGTAGTTGAAACTGTTTGGTGTTGGAGAAGGACTACAAAATATTTCTTTACCTTGGTTTTTAGGGTAATCAAAATATGGGATTTACGTAAGAATTATACTGCTTATCGACAAGAACCCATAGCATCCAAGTCTTTCCTGTACCCAGGTAGCAGCACTCGAAAACTAGGTAAGCCTTTGTATATTCTGTAGGACTTTTTTTGAATATATGAGTTTTTGTTAAAATTTTTAAAATAAATATCAAGCTAGTTTTCAGCAACTATTATTCTCAATAGACTTGAGAAACTCTAACATATGTAAGTATCTTTTTGAAGTTCGAAAGATAAAAACTCAGAAGAATTTTGGTTTATATAATTTAGGGAAGAATTCTGATGATTCTTCTTGTGAAATGATCTAAAAAGATCATTTTCATCTCAGTTCTACTCTGTCATCAGTACATGCTAATTAAAGTTTCCTTTTTCCAGGATACTCAAGTCTGATTTTGGATTCTACTGGCTCTACTTTATTTGCTAACTGCACAGATGACAACATCTACATGTTCAATATGACTGGATTAAAGACTTCTCCAGGTAGGATCTTAGTCATTCAGATTCTCTTACCTGGAAACAAATATGGACTTTTTTGTTAACGGTAATTTAATGTTGAATTTTTTCTATACCAGATTTATTAAGATATACGAGGACTTTGGAGTCTTTGATTAGTTCCAGTGATGTTTTCATAGGTGTACTTACCTTGTGATGATTTCACAAGTGAACAGAATCCTGCTCCATATGGTGACTTAATTTCTCCCCAAAGTATGCCCCTTTGACTATATTTAGAATTATCTCAATTTGTGGGATAGAGAAGGCTGTTCTGCTCAGCTTTTGTCCTGTTTGGGGGTTCATTAAAAATAGGGGGCTTAGTTTTTTAAGCTCCTAAAATAGTTCCTACCTACCTCAGCCTTCTCCTTAATGTTGGACAGAGGCTATTTTATCTCTGGATATTTTCCTTAACCTTACCTTTTTTTCTTCAAGAAAATTGTAAGTGGAATGCGATTTTTAAACTGATAAATGACATTTTAAAAAATTGAAGTTTCTCAAGCATACTCTTAAGGGTTATTTGAGTTATATCATTTTAAGAACATTATCAGTTACTTAAGCAAGCTACATACTAGTAACCTACTTATTTCTCAGGCATAGCTCTGTCAGAGACAGACTTTGATTTCTATAACCAATCCTCAGAGCTACCCAGTTCCCACTAAAGTAAGATGTGTTGAGAGAAAAAAGGAAATCGCAAAATATTATAAAATTTAGCTAGACAAGTCTTATTTTTAGGAGTGAGACAGTACAACTTGGAGGTTTGGAGGTTTGGAGGATGGACTGGCTTCATACTGCCAGAAACTTACAGGAATTTCCAAAGACTGTCCCCAAGCCATTATTAGGACTTTGATACCAATGGCAGTATCACATTTTTGGCATTTCTACTGCCCTGGTTTAGGTCTGGTGTGTAAACAAGAGTAAGAGTATTTGGAAAAGGGAAGAGGTTTTATAACTTTGTTTGCTATCTTTCCTGAATGGAATCAGAAATTGGACAACTTCTAATTTATTTAGTCATATAAAACAGACTCTACAAAATCTCTCCCCAAAGATAAAAGCCTAATCCTAATTATATTATCAGCTATTCAAGAGCTCTTTCTGTATCATTTTGTTATAGTATGGCACTAAAAGGGGCCTTGAATTTGGTTGTTCTGCCATCAAACAAATATGCCCAAGGCTACTTTACTAATAATTTAGTAACCTTTTTTCCTGTATTCCTAAAATAATTTGGTTGGCTCCCATATGTAGATTGGTAGGCAGGTGGATAGATAGATGCATTCCTTAGAAACTGAATGACATACTTGAGTGCATGTGTGTGTGACACATCTGGTAATGCTTGTCTTTTTCAAAACTTTAGAAAGTGTCTTGGACTCATTACTTAATATCCCATACTTCTAATTCACGGCATTTTATTATACTAAGAGATGTTCATAAGGATGGCTCTGAAGCATTTTAAGGAAGCATTTTAAGAGCCCAAATTGTCAAAGAAAGATTAAATCAAGCTAATTAAAGTCAATGTAGGTTTTAGAAGGATTTTTCACATGGTTTGAAATATATATTGGGTACTTTATGTTGGCTTTCTTAGTAGACCAGCAGAGGGCAATAAACACTTAGGGGTTTAGTAGGAAATTTGGTCTGTAGTTTTCCAGCCAAACCTTAGAGTTGAGAAAGATGAACAATTATAGTCTTGGAGTTGTACTCAGAATAAAGGAAACTTTATTTTGTGGGGATTTATCTATCATAGTAGATCTATAATATGTATATCTGAATTGATTCATATCCTGCTTAACTTTCACGGTAATAGTATTTGATGTGGAGGGTATTTGATATGCAGACTTTTTCTTGAAAAGCTATAAATACAAAGGATTTTTTCTAGTTTTATTCTAGCAAAAGGAAGGGATTTTTGTGAATACTTATGGAAAGCCATTGATTCACTTAATAATTCTCCCCACCCACCCCCATTGGAAAACTGGAGTGAAATATTTTTTTCTGGCCTAAATGTATCCTTAAATTCTCCAATACCTGAGTCTTTTTTCTTTTATTTCCTAGTAGTGTTCTGATGCCGGAGACCGCAGATGTTGGTCTCCTTAGGATAGAAGGACATGTTGAGCACATTATGCTAGATTGGATAGTGAGAAGTCTGAACCTAACCTAGTTGGAGTATCTTACAAATGAATGTACAATGTAACCCCAACGGCCACTTCTACTCTTCAGGCTATTTAAAATGCTGGATTAAAAAGATACCCGCATCTCAAATAAGCTATCTTAAATCTTAACTTAACAACAAGTTTTTGAAGACCTCTGTTCAAAGCATTATAGGGTCTAGTGAGGAAAGAATAAGATACAAAATTTATCCTCAAGAGGTCTGAAGTCTTAAGAGGAAGAAAGACTAATGTATAATGCAATGGAAAAAACCTAGCCTGGGGTGAGGAGAGAGGGTCTAATAAAAGCATTTTACTAAAAGATTGGACACTGGCTCCATTCTTGTCCTGTAAGAATATCTTCACTTTCTTTCTTTTTTTTTTTTAATTGAGGTATAGTTGTTTTACAATGTTGTGTTAGTTTCTGGTGTACAACACAGTGAATCAGTTATACATGTATATTTTTCATATTCTTTTCCATTATAGTTTATTACAAGATACTGAATGTAGTTCCCTGTGCTATATAGTAGGACCTTGTTGTTTATCTATTTTGTATATAGTGGTTTGTATCTGCTAATCCCAAACTCCTAATTTGTCCCTCCCACCCTTCCCCTTTGGTAACCTCTTTGGTAAGAATATCACTTTCTCCACTATAGCCAGCTCCATACCAAGTATTTGGGCTCGGATCGTGATATTGGGTCTAATGTAAAGCCTCTTTCTAGGATTTCCTTTAATTTTCTGCCAAGGTCCAGTTCTTTTTTATTTGGTGACTATAAATTGACCATCTGCTACAGTAATTAATACACTCATAAAATTTGTTATAACATGTATACTGCCTGCATTTATTTGAAAACTAGAAATAACAAGAACCAAGAAATTTGATTTTGTTCTTCTTGCAGTGGCTGTCTTCAATGGACATCAGAACTCTACCTTTTATGTTAAATCCAGTATTAGTCCAGATGACCAATTTTTAGTCAGTGGCTCAAGTGATGAAGCTGCCTACATCTGGAAGGTAAGTTAGAAAATTTTCCCTACAAAGATGAGATTTAAATATTCTTGCAAATATTTCTTCTGTCTAAGAAGAGGTAAGCTTAATATAAACACAAACTTTAGCTTTTCTATATCAGATGTTCAGTAAAAATTACTTCTTATCTCCTAATCTAGCCAAATCCTCATTCAGGTTGTCACAGAATATATCATACTTTAATGGTCAGAGCTTCTCAGAAATTGGCAATCCATATCCTCCAACAGTTCTACAGATTATCAGGAAGTGGAGAATTCAGAAGACTGGAAAGAACCTTAAATATTTTGTCTTACTTCCTAGAAAAACTTGCTGTACTGCCTTCTGCCCTGTTTTCAAACTCTCACTCAAAATGTAGTATTTTGATCCTAGAACCCTACACCCAGGTCACCCATAGAGCCTTGCACAAAACACTCACTCAGAAATATTTGTCTAATAATTGTATTCTTTACTCTCCTGTAAGGGGCCAATCTTCAGGCAACTAAAGTAGATGTGGCTGCTTTATCAGTTTTGTATATATTTAATAGCATTGTTTACTCATTTATTTATTTTATAGATTTCTCGTTTCTACACAAATTGTATCTATATGTGTTTTACTTTTTAAGCAAACAGTGGTTCTAAAGTGACCACTATAGGCTAAGAAATTTAAAGATGTCCATTTGAGGTCCAGTGGGGAAAACTAAAATATTATACAAGTGGCATTTGCTGACCACTGAAAAATGGCTCTTGTGGAATAATAAATTATAGAAATGTCTGTGAGCTCAGAGAAAGAAGAGCATTAAGGCATTGTTTTCCTAGGGCTAGAAACTAATTATCTTCTAGATTGCCCTATAATTTCATAAATGTCCTTGACATTGGTGAATTGAATGATCAGAGTTCATACAGTTTGCATTTTAGAGTCACGTCTAAAACTGTATAGACCCATGGGTTCAATATCATCAAATCCCTTCTCAGGAGAAAGCTATTATTCTTAGTCCTGCCAACCTCTGGGAAGTCATATCTTCAGTGTAGGACAGGGATAGATCCTGTCAGATATGAAGCATAATTCTTCAGCTTAATTTCATCTGGTCCTGGAGAAGGTACTAAAAAATGATATCTCTGTATACCTAGAGTTGCAAAAATGCAACACTGCCTTATAAAAAGGTTTTAATAATAATATCCTAGATGGTCACAAGATGGAGGTATAGTTCTATCCAAGATGCTTTTGTGTTGACTTTTTCTACAAGCAGATTTCTTTTATTTGCTTTATTTTTAAATGAAAATTGACTTATGAAATACACACATGAGACCCCCATCTTGTGATAAGAGTCTTTACTAGCTTATTGTCTATAAAATTCTTCTGACTTGAACTTTAAACTTCATGTGACTAGCACTAGTGTTTCTGTCTTACAGTTTAAATTTTGAGTTTCAAATTTGGTCTTTTCCTTATATTTATTATTTTTTGTTTTTCCCTTTCTCCTTCCCTCATTGTCTCACCTACCTTTCTTTCTCTACTTTGGTTCCCAACTTAGCTAAAGGGTTTTATTTCTACCAAGGTCTGTATCATTTTAAGTTTCTTTCTTGAAAAAAAAAAAAAATTCAGACAGTACCAAAAACCGTAATAAAGGATTATGGGGGGGAAAACCTTATGTACTGGTCATTTTTAATCATTTAAAATAAGTTTAATTGTATATACATAATTATATATGTAATTATACATTGTGTGTGTATGTGTGTGTGTGTGTGTAGTTTCATTGCCAGATCTTAAAGCTCCTCCCTAGCTCTCTTCTCTAGTACGAAGGCCTTTGTTTTGTTGTTTCAGGAAATAAGGGTTGGGGGGTGGTTTCTCTCTTTAAAGACAGGCAGTAAAGATACTTGGCTGTTTGTTAGTAACCCATTTTCAGACATCCAGTCAGTGGCTATCACACACATGGGTGACCCTTTCTGAATTCTAGGCTGGGTCACATGTCGGTGCTGAATGATGTGGTTCAGACATGATGTTCTCCTGCCTGTCCACACATAACTGAGTGTGCAGGTTCTGATATTACAGATCCTGGCAAACTTACTGCTCCTAAAATTGAATTTGCCTAGTGAGATGGCTCAGTTTCTCTTTTCTATGATCAGAAAAGGGGGGAGGGGTGTAGTATAAAAACAAGTCCACATAAACTGAGTATTCAGTCTCTCACGTCAGAATTCCCTCAGGTATTAGGATTTTCCTATGCCCCAAAAGCCCATGGGCACAAGAAAACAGAGTTAAAGAAGGTAGTTTTAGATCTCAAGACAGAAGAGAATAGCCTTTTAATTCTCACCACTGCCCAGCAAAGAGGAGACATAATACAATTAGACTTTCTGACACTGAGGCCCAAGATTTAAAAATAAAAAGATTTAATATTATGAGTTGTTTTTTTTTAAAGTTTCCTACCCCTTGTCCTGCCCTCACCCCAACCCCTCCCCTTCCCTGGTTCATTTCTGATATAGCCACTGAATAGTATTGAAGTGGTTATAAATAAACTGATTTGGCACCGTCATTCTACCGCTGACTGGCGAAACATTGAGCCTGACACTTTAGGAAGTGTAAATGATCTCATGGCAGAAATGAAGATTAGGTTTGGTTTCTAACTGGGCAGAGTAAGGAGATTTTTTGAGGAAAGGTGCTGATCTTTTTTCATGTTCAAGTATACAAAATGTTATATGAGGTCTGCAGATTAGAGCCTGTTACTTCTAAAGTACCTTCATAGTTCTGGGAGTTTTAACTTTGGAATTTTTCATGCCTTGAGTTAGTCTTTATTCTATAACAACTAGAATTTGTAAGAGAGGACAATTTTCTCTGTTTTGACCATTCCCAGGATGCACAGATGTAAATGTCTCTTGGACTTCACAGTCTCCTCTTCCTATTTAAGAATAGAGAGAGGCTTTTAAAAAACGCAATCATGTAATTATGACGATGTTTTTATAATAACAAAGTGACAATAAATAAAAACTTATTTGATTAAAAACAAAGGATTTAAAAGTCACTTGGATTTCATTAGAAGACATTAATTTTCTTTGAGGTAGACACCAAGAAGGTAACGATACTAGGATAGTCGTCAACTGTGAAAACATTTGTTACTAATGTTCATAAAAACTTGTTGGACATTAGTTCTCATTTCAGCCTACAACATGCCCTTCCCTCCACTTTTTTTTATTGAGATAGAATTTGTATAATATAAAATTCACCATTGTAGTCATTTTAAAGTGTAGAATTCAGTGATTTTTTTAGTATAATCACAGTATTGTGCAACCATCCCCACTATCTCATTCTCAAACATTTTCATCACTCCAAAAAAGAAATCTTTTACCCTTTAAAAGTCGCTCTCCATTCTGTCCTGCCCCCAGCTTCTGACAACCACTAGCCTATGTTCTGTCTCTATGGGTTTGCCTATTCTGAATATGTCCTATAAATGGAATCATACAGTATATGACCTTTTATGTCTGACTTTGCTTTCACTTAAAGTTTTCAAGGTTCATCCATGTTGTGCATGTATCAATATTTCATTCCTCTTTATGACTGAATGATCCATTGTGTGGACAGACCTCATTTATTCATCGGTCGACAGACATTTAAATTATTCCACTTTTTGGCTTTATGAGTAAAACTAATATGAACATTCGATTACAAGTTTTTGTTTGAACATATGTTTTCAATTCCCCTGGGAGTGCATACCTAAGAGTAGAATTGCTGGGTCATATGGTAATTAATTCTATGTTTAACTTTTTGAGGAACCTTCCCCTCACTTTCAGTGCTATGTAAAGTGCCTGGCTCATGGTAATCATTTAGTAAATGTTAACTTTTATTGTTACTGTTATTACTCCTGTCTTATAGAATTGTAAAAAGTTTTTCCAACAGGTCCTTTGTTTTTTCCTCTTAAATCCTATGGATAAATGCAGAAATGTGCATACATTCTATTGGTGGTTGTTTGGTTTTTCCCTGACATTTATTTTAATCTTTGGTATAGATATTCAGGTTCTTCTGGATATTGTAATACCTGAGAAACTGAGGAAGGGCAGTATCATGAAATGAAAAGCTAGCAGCAGCAAGCAAGTAAACCAATGGAGTAAAGTAATGTGTTCTTACCAGGGAGGGTCAGGAGGACATGAGGATTTCCTCTTCCTTTTCACTTGCTGCTACCAGTCTTCCTTGGGCCCTGGGTAAAGAGGAACTTAATGGGCTGGGGCCGTTGAGACTTTCTGTGACTACTGAGATAGTTAGTGTCTACCTTGAAAGTCTTTTCTAAAATACGCTATCTTGTGGGAGAACGAGTTCTTGTTCTCTGTGGCACTGTAAGAGTAGGAAGTAAGTGAGATCCTTTCGGACCTCAGGAAAAAGCCTTCTTTTTTGTTACACTTTAATTAACTCAGCAAGACTAATTAGATTCTGTTCTTTGTCTTCTTTGGCTCTTTGAGTCATTGCATATGTGCCATTTAACCCAAGAGAGGAGTAGTAATAGTAGAATTGGACAACCTTATGAATCAGGGGATCGAATCTCTTGACTACAATCTGAGGACTCTACTAAGCTTAGTCATTCTCACAGATATTCTTTCCAGAGTGCCTCCACTTCCTTCATACAAATGAGTAATGATTCAGAGCCTCAGGAAAATGAAAAGAGAGTAATTTCTATTTTTCAAACACACGTGCTAATAATAGTTATGTGAGTTTGTACTTCATGCTGTACTCATTAATTCCATGGCCTATGACAGGGATTGACAGCTCTTGAATGACTCAGCTGTCAAATGCATATCATAAATGGCATCCAATGAAGGGAAAAATATGATTCTTCATCACATGCGTAGTACTGCACAATGTGAGCCTTCTTTATACATTAAAATGTGGTAGTACTTACTTGAAAACTCTAAGATTTCTTTAAGCAAATGAACTAAAATTAAACTTTAGAGGAAATTTTTTTCTTCCCCAAAAAGTATACCAAAGTGCCATGTAAAATATAGCTTATGCCCCTTCAAAATGAAGGCGTATAACTTAGAACTTCAGTAAAAATCAGTGAATCTTCATTTGGAAGAAAGATTGTCCTCTTGTCCCAAGAGATCTATTAGCATATCTCAGGTATCTTCAGGATTTAGTTAGCACAGTGTTCCTGAAGGTAGCCGACTAGAGAAGATCTAAATGTCTAGGCTCTACCTGAAGTGCACTGCCTAGCAGCTAAGCCTCATCCTTTCAGTCTTGAATTTTAGCCAAAATATGTATACCTAAGTAGTCCTAATTTGAAACAAGACCTGACCTGGTATCTAAGCTCATATCGTTTACTTATTTTGGCTATTTTCTTTCTGTTCTCTCAGATTAATCACAGAAATACTTTCATTGCCCATTGAGACCCTTTTTCTGAACAATAACTAGGCATGTCTAGGGGCTTTTGGTAACAACCCTAAAGCTCTCTAAGGCACAGATGGGGAGCAGTTCAATGCCTCTATCTGGGAGACCTAACACTGCTCTGCTGACTTGCTTGTTTCTTTTTGATGGTGCAATAGGTCTCCACACCCTGGCATCCTCCTACTGTGCTCCTGGGTCATTCTCAAGAGGTCACATCTGTGTGCTGGTGTCCATCAGACTTCACAAAGGTTTGTAAGCTAATCTCTGTAGTTGATTTTAAAAGCAGATCACAGATTTGTAGGTTTTCCCAAAGTTAGCTTGAGAGTTATATAAACTTTTACATTTAAATAGACATTTAAAAACCCTAGAGGCCACCCAGGATCTATACCATTATTAATCACACATAGTCTATTTTTTTCTTCCAGTAGAGAACCTGCATTAATGCCCTTAGGAATAAGGATGGATTTCTTGGTTCCCTGAAGTCATTCCTTTCCTAAACATAGAATTAAGTTTTTAACGTTATTAAAATTTCATCTTAAAATTGAAGGTAAAAAGGAAATGTTAGGTGACAACTCATCTTTCTAATGTTCTACATATTAGCAATGGTGGTGTATTAAAGGTAACATCTTGATTGTTCTTCACAGTCCAGTTTGGGTTTTCACATGCCTGAAAAGTTTACTGTGAAGTCTTAACGTGTTAGGTTATTTGTGGCTAAACTACGTAAGAAGTAACTCCAAAGTGTTTTAGACTCTCTGGAAAGAAGACAGTATGCTCACAAAATTTGTTTAGTAATGATATTTAAAAGCAAGTAAACAGAAAACCTGAAACGTAGAACTCCCAGAAACAAACAAACACCACATATATGTAAGGGGTTTCACCCTCCCAGCGCTGACTACCTAACTCTTTGGGTTATTCTGGGTTTGCAGGACATGTCCCTCCCTTGGAGATCTCCTTTTCACCTGTGACGTTTTGAAGTTTTGTTGCCTGTTGTTCCCATCTGTTTTTTTATCTTCCGGAATCTTCTCATTGTCTGATTTACTCATGGCATCCCTGCTTGCTTTCTAGTACTGCTTTTTTAGTACTCCTGTGGATTCTTTTTATTTCTACATCCCTATATAACCATTTCTGTGTGAGCTTCATGATAGACCTTTTTTTGAAATCACTGCTTTAATCACCAATAATTACATCCCAATGACATTTTTCCTGTAGGATTTCATGTAATTTCCAGTGAAATATCTGCTTTTAATGTGGAATTTGTATCTTCATAGAACTAAGATGGGTTTTAAAAAATTATTTAGTTAATTATGTCATCTTTTTCCATTCATCATATATCGTCCTTATCTCTGTACACAGAAAAGACACAAAAGAAATGGCAGAGCTATTTACGTGTACTAGTTTAACGACCACCTTTTTAAAAAGTTCAGTTGGGGAGAGTATAGCTTAGTGGTAGAGCGCATGCTTAGTCATGGGTTCGATCTCCAGTACCTCTGTTAAAGAAAAATAATAATGATACTAAGTAAAATAAATAAGTATTACCTCCCTCCCCCAAACAAAAGTTCTTTAAAATGATTTTGTCCCTAGCCTGTAGTTAAGAAGGTAAAACACCACTTTAAAAAAAAATAGACTTTGAAATTGGAAAAACTTCGATTTAAAGTCTAGTTCTGCCACTTAATTGTGGAGACCTTGGACAAATAACTTTCTTCCCATTTTGTAGATGAGGTTATTTGAGTATAAGGCTTTTTATACTGTGAGAATTAAATAAGATAAAGAATTAAATCTTCAGACACTCAGACTTAGTTGCTCAGTAAATAATAACTTGTTAATAGACTATAGAGTAACTGGGGATTCCAGGCATTTCTTGCTGAGCAGTTAAATATTTGTGTCTTCTTTTGGCCTCCCAGTAAGGAAAGGAAAAAGCTGCCAGTCTCTTGGGGGCCAAGACTTAAGAGAACGTGTGTTCTTTTTTTCTTTCTCTTTAGTGACTGAAATAGAGAAATTATATAAACAAATGCTGGGGAACAGCTCTGGTACCAGTGGCCAATTGCCACAAGCTCTTCAAGCTGGACTTTCTCTGCCATAAAAGGCTTGAGACCAAGATCAGGAACGGTCAGATATTTTTAAAGGGGCAAAGGTTATTTTTAACTTCTTTCAGCCTAGTGAACTTGTTGTTTTCCCAGATTGCTCCTTTACCTATCTGAAAAAGAATCTTAAAGGAATGGCTTCATTCTACTTGTCATAGCATACTAGAGTCATGGACTAAGTCTAATCTTAGAAATGACCCCATTACTTTAGCAATAAGCCAGAACTTGCAGAATTCAGAAGAAAGTCATAGAAATTGAATGTCAGTGACATACACTGATTGATCATTTAAAAGAAAGAGTGAAAATGACATCTTAATTATAAGTTTCATAGTTACATAGAGGGTGGTAAAGATAAGGACTTGCCCACCTTCTTCAGAATAAAATGAACCTGGTTTTGTAGTAGAGCTTTAGGTTAGGTAAGAAATGACTGGTCACAAAAGACATACCAGCAGAATGTATATAAGTAAGGAACTAAAGAATCCACTTCTTTGGAAATCTGGAATGATTCCTGAAAGCAAGAAATGAAAGTATGTGACCTTTCAGATAACATTTTCTATATCTTGTTATATCAGACAGACTAATTCTCTAGACATGAGCCCTACTTTTTACTTTGTTATGAGCCTTTGATTGAAACTTATTAACTCCCTTCCTGGTTCTCATTAGATTGCTACCTGCTCTGATGACAATACACTGAAAGTCTGGCGCTTAAATAGAGGATTAGAGGAGAAATCAGGAGGAGATAAACTCTCCATAGTGGGCTGGGCCTCTCAGAAGAAAAGAGAAGCAAGAGCCGACCTAGGTAAGGATCCCATGCATTTTTCTAAGTTTTTTATAGTTTGGTTGGTTTCTGCAGTGCAGAGTGATGAGCTGGATTCTATGATCTTATTTTAGTATATTTTTAAAGGAAAGCACCATCTTGTTGACATTCATTCTTTTTAATAAATATTTTCTGAACACTACTATGTTTATCATCTACACAAGGCACTGGAATATGTTGGTAGATTTATTTTTTAGATATTTATTGACCATCTACTTTGTGCTGGGCACTGTTCTAAGTTGCTGGAGACTCTGCAATAAACAAAAGAATCAAAATGCCAAAGATGTGAATAAAATTTACATATTAGTGTGAGAGGCAATAATCAAGTTAAAGAAGTAAAATTTGTCAGATAACAATATGTACTCAGGGAAAAAGGAAAACAGAAACAGGAGAATAGCAAAGCATGCTGTTAAAATTTTAAATTAGGTGCCCAGGGAGGCCTCAATGAAAAGATGGCATTTGAGTAAAGAAAGTGAAGTAGTAAGCCTTGTGGATATTTTAGAGGATGTTCTAGGCAAGCAAAACAGCAAATGCAAAGGCCCGGAAGCAGGAGCAGGCCTGACATATTTCCTGTTCCTCAAAGTGGCTAATGTTGCCGCTAAAGCAGGCAACAGAGAGGGAGGGGAATAGTGGAAAAATAAAGTTCTTGTACAATTTTGGCTTTTATTCTCTGACAAAAAGCTGTTGGAGGGTTTTGAATAGAAGAGTATTATGATCTGACTTTTCTTAACTTGATCATTCTAATTCCTGTATTGGAAACAAACCGTAAAGAGATCAGGATAAAATCTGGAAGCTAATTTAAAAATTCATTGACATAATCTGGGAAGCAATGATGGTGACTTGGACCAGAGTGGTAGCAGAGGATATGATGGAAGTCTTCAGACTCTGGATATATTTACATGATAGAGCCAACAGAACATGCTGTAGGATCAGATGCGGGATGCGAGGGAGTTATCAAGGATAACTTCAGAGTTTTGGGCTTGAGAAGCTAGGAGAATGGAGTTGCCATTGACCTATATAGGAATCACTGCAGGAGGAGATTTGGGTTTCAACTATAGTAATTAGAAGGTAGAAATACAGGCACAGTGAAGACAGGTGGATATATGGGATGGTCAGAACTTCTGGAAGTTCCCATCTGTTCTGATAGCTTCTATTTTCTTAGATAGGAATCAAGATCATCAACTGAGAATAAGGGTGAGAGAAGGAGGTGGTAGAAATCTGAGGAAAGATAATAAAGTCTGCAATAGCCATGTAGAGAATAGAAGAGTAAATGGACCAGGGAAATATGACTGTTGGGCAGAAAGAGTCAGCCTGGGGCTAGCACTCATTATTTGAAAGTGAGCAGTCAGCATGGTGTCTGTCTGCTGCATAGGTACAGGTACACTGTCAGTGGATAGTTGATTTTAACCAGGGAGGCGGTTTAAATCCACAAGAATGATGAAGTGAGCGGAGGGCTGAGGGAGTTAAGCATATAGATAAAACTGGGTAAGGAGGGGAGTGTGGGTATAGTAGGGCTGGGAGTAAAAGTGGTAAGATCAATGAATTGAGGATCCCCTGGGGATGAAGGATTGTTGGAATGGGAGTGCTAAGGGGGCTGAGAAAATAGGTGGTGGTTGAAATTGAGATAATGGAGGATTTGCAGGTATTGGTAATAAGAAGATCAAGGAATATGTGGCTTAAGTGAGTGAAAGGACAAGGCTATTGTAGAAGAAGGAGATCAAGAAACTGAGAAACCAAGGTATTGGAGAGATCATGAATGTGCATTTTGTAATAACTGGGATTTGGTGGGGATGGTATTAAAGAGAGTGCCAGTGAACCAAGAACAAAAGTCTAAGCACTGAACCAGCCAAAGGGGACCCAGGTGTTACCAATAGATATACAGTAATAAGCTTGAAATTCAAACTTAAACATTCATTTTATGTTAGCCATCAAGGCCTAAGGTAACGGAGAGTTGAAAATGAGAGAATATATGCTCATTTTTCTGATAACCTACTTAGTCTCTTACAAGATGCTGTAACCAGAACTGAACTCCAGAGGGGTCTTTTACTCAAAGGCTGCTTCTATAAAGTCTTTAATGCCTTTATTTTTTGTTTCTACTTTCTTAAAAAAAAATTAAGTGTTAATCTTTTAATAGTAGTCATCTAGCTCTACAGGGCTAAGTAAGGTAAACAGCAGTCTCCAGAATCCCTGCCCCACAGTTCCCCTTTCCAGGGGTAACCACTTTCAAATCTTTTAGCTGATTCTTTGATACGTATGTCTTTATCTCTAAATAATATTTGTGTATTTCTATTTCTTTTGGGATGTTTTTGCAATTTTCAGCATTATCTTTTGACTTCTTACTCTGTGAGATAAACATTTAGCTCTTTCCTGCGTCCCCTTGCTGGCAGTTGACTGATTATTAGTAAGCTCTCTAGATTCCTCAAAGGAACTGACTTTCAAGAAGCCTTCAGGACAGTAACCCAGTCTGTGCTACCGTGTCCTCAGATCTCATGCAGTGCTTGGTCCATAAGAGTTGATGACTCACTCTTCTGACACACTGTTCAGAGAAAAGAGCAAATTGCAGAATGCACGTGTGTGTATATAATCATTGTGGGTTTTTTTAAGGTATGATACACATAAATGTGTGTGTGCTAATAGGCACATAGAAAATTATGGAATACACAGGAGCATAAGAGTGAAATGAGAAGGTTGAGAAGAGGACCTTTTAGCACATGAAAAGGTGTTCAGTATCACTAATTATCAGAGAAATGAAAATCAGAACTACAATGAGGTATCCCCTCACACCAATCAGACTGGCCATCATTAAAAAGTCCACAAACAATAAATGCAGGAGACAGTGTGGGAAGAAAAGGAACCTTCTTACACTGTTGGTGGGAATGTAATTTGGTGCAGCTGCTATGGAGGACTATGGAGATTCCTTAAAAAAAACTAAAAATGGAGTTACCATATGATCCAGAAATCCCACTCCTGGGAATATGTCTGGAGAAAACTAATTCAAAAAGATACATGCACTTCAGTGTTCATAGCAGCACTGTTTACAATAGCCAAGACAATGGAAGCAAGCTAAATGTCCGACAGATGATTGGATAAAGAAGTTGTGGTATATTTATGTAATGAAATACAGCCATAAAAAATAAAATGATGCCATTTTCAGCAACATGGATGGACCTAGAGATTATCATACTAAGTGAAGTAAGTCAGAGAAAGACAAATATCATATGACGTCACTTATATGTGGAAATATTGACACAAATGAACTTATTTACAAAACAGAAACAGACTCACAGACATAGAAAACAAACTTATGATTACCAAAGGAGAAAGGAGGGGAGGGATGAATTAGGAGTTTGGGATTAGCAGATGCAAACTACTGTACACAGAATAAATAAACAACAAGATCCTACTGTATAGCACAGGGAACTATATTCAATATCTTATAATAACCTATAATGAAAAAGAATATGAAAAAATATGTATATATATAACTGAATCACTACTCTGTACACCAGAAACTAACACAACATTGTATATCAACTACACTTCAATTAAAAAAGAAAGAGGACCTTTTACTTTTCACCTTATTTCCTTCTGTAACTGTTTGGATTTTTTTTTTTACCATGAACATTTATTACTTTTATAACTGAATTACTGTTAGAGAGTGAGAGAATTTGACAAATAATTTGACAATTTGACAATCCTGAAGGAAGAGGAAATGCCCCAACTTTCCACCACATCAGATCTCACGCTGACCTTTAGTAAACACTTCAAATATCTGCCACTTAAATATCAGAAACATATATTTGCTTTGTCCCTGGCCCAACTTTTCCTTCTCCCTGGATCCTGCCTTAGAATCTGCATATTGTAAGATGCATACCACTTTAGGACTTTCTGCCCTGAACATCTCTTCAGCCTACTTTAATGGAACCATTGACTTAGGGGCTGTGGAGTGACCATGGACCTGAACTGAAGTGAAGCACATGTGAAGTTGCTTTCCTCTGAAATAATAACTAATCAGGCTCTAGTTCTAGAGTGTGAGAACCACCAGCAGTCGCTCTGCGGACAGGTCCTAATCACTAACCCCTCTTCTAGACCACATTATGACGAAATGGGGTTTTCCAGTAGTGGTTTTTGCTGAAGGAGCAATATCATGTTGACCATTTCTAAACATATAGTTGATGAAAAAAGTTTAGGAAAAAGTCAATTTGTAGAACTTCTCTGTCTTGAGGCAAGGCTGCTTGAGTAGGGAAAAGCAAAGTGTAAAATGTACAGGGTAACTAAATGACTGAAATTAGTCCTTTTTTGTTTCCTTTGGTTAACTTGAAATTAGTATTTTCTTTTTTTTAATTGAAGTATAGTCAGTTTGCAGTGTTGTGTCAATTTCTGGTATACAGCACAATGTTTTAGTTATACATGTACATATATATTCCTTTTTTTAATTAAAGTACAGTTTATATTCTTTATCATCATAGGTTAATACAAGATATTAAATATAGTTCCCTGTGCTATACACAAGAAATTTAGTGCTTATTTATATACAGTAGTTAGTATCTGTAAATCTGGAACTCCCAATTTATCCCTTCCTCTACCATTTCCCCCCTGGTAACCAAAGATTTGTTTCCTATGTCTGAGTCTGTTTCTGGTTTGTAAATAAGTTCATTTGTGTCTTTTTTTTTAAGATTCCACATATTAGTGATATCATACAGTATTTTTCTTTCTCTTTCTGTCTTACTTTACTTAGTATGATGATCTCCAGGTCCATCCGTGTTGCTGCAAATGGCATTTTTTATGGCTGGGTAGTATTCCATTGTATAAATATACCACATCTTCTTTATCCAGTCATCTGTCAATGGCAATTTAGGTTGTTTCCATGTCTTGGCTATTGTAAATAGTGCTGCTGTGAACATTGGGGTGCATGTATCTTTTTGAATAAGAGCTTCCTCCGGAAATATGCCCAGGAGTGAGATTGCTGGATCATATGGTAAATCTATGAAGTTAGTACTTGTCAATTTTTATTCTAGCTAAAAGAAAGATGTTAGCCCATCCAAAATTTAGTTGCATATAAATGCAGTTTAGTAATTAAGCAATTCGAATTAAATATCAGAGTTATAATTCAAACACTTGGTGAATGAGAAATAAATAAGTGCCCTTTCCTTGTTATTTGAAGACAGGAACACTATTTCAGAAATCTGAAAATCTCCGAAGGAAAGTGAGAAAACATAGTGTTGTCTCTGTTCAGGTCCAAGGGAGAAGAAGCATGAAGTTTATAGGAATTTGCCTGAAGTACTTGTCATTGCCTATAAACAAGGGACAGGACACATAGAGAAGAGTTCTGACCACTATTTGATTTGCTTTACAGAGAGCAAGCATTGAGTTTCTGAAATGTTCTTTGGAATTCTTTGGCTTGTGGAAAATTGTAAATTGTAAATTAAAGTGGAAAGCCACATGAGTGAGGCCTGATAACCCTAATAAGTACTGATGGAATTACTTCTCATGGAGATTTAAAACTATCTCCATTTAATAGATATGGAAACTGAGGCAGAGGGGGTGAAAGGTTGTACTCAAGTCACTTAATAGGTGATTTTGCCAGCTTCTGGACCTGTGTACTCCTCACCGTACAGTGCCACTCTGTCCTAGCATTACTCAAAAATATATACTGGATGCTAATGGCAACTCTCATGAAAACAAAATATCATTAACCTGAATGCCTTACTGTTACTGTAGAATACTTTGTAGCTATTAAAAATTATAAATATATAATTTTGTAATTAATATGAGAAATATTCATGATATGTTAAGCAGGTTACTATTATATTTTGTATATTATGGTCTCATTTTTGTGTAGAAAATATTTGAGCTGTATTATATCACATGCACAGGTATAGAAAAAACACTAAAAGTAGTTCACCTGGATACTTTAAAATTTTTCTTCTTTTAATTTTTCTGTATTTTCTAGATTTTTATAGGTATGTGTTTTACAACAGGGTGTTTGGGAGGCTGGAAGTTGGGAAAGGGGAAGGGGAATGCTAAAAGGATAAGAATCAAGTGATTCAGGTGATCTACTCACTAGGAAATCAACCCCTAGAAGATTAAGTTAGCTATAATTTTCCTTAATAAGAATTCAGGGATTTTCTGTGGATTTCACTTCTGATTTCCATGACCCTCTTCTTTTTCAGTAACAGTGACAAGTAGCCAGAGTACTCCTGCCAAAGCCCCCAGAGTAAAGAGCAGTCCGTCCGTTTCCTCCCCGTCATCAGCAGCTTGTGCTCCAAGCTGTGCTGGAGACCTCCCTCTTCCTTCAAATACTCCTACATTCTCTCTTAAAACCCCTCCTGCCAAGACCCGGTCTCCCATCAGCAGAAGAGGCTCCGTGTCCTCTGTCTCTCCCAAGCCACCCTCATCCTTCAAGATGTCCATTAGAAACTGGATGACCCAAGCACCTTCCTTGTCACCACCCATCACTCCACCTGCTTCTGAGAACAAGATCACATCTCCAAGAAAAGCTCTCATACCTGTGAGCCTGAAATCATCCCAAGCAGTGGCTTGTTCTGAGTCTAGAAATAGAGTAAAGAGGAGGCTAGACTCGAGTTGTCTGGAGAATGTGAAACAGAAGTGTGTGAAGAGTTGCAGCTGTGTGACTGAGCTTGATGACCCTGTTGAAAAGCTCCATTTAGATCTGTGCTGCCTTGCCGGTAACCAGGAAGACCTTGGTAAGGACTCTCTAGGTCCTACCAAACCAGGCAAGATTGAAGGAGCTAGTATGAATGTCTCAGAGCCTCCTTCTCCTGCCAGTCCTTATGCTTCAGAAGGCTGTGGAACGCTACCTCTTCCTTTGGGGTCTTGTGGAGAAGGCTCTGAAGTGGTAGGCAAAGAGAATAGCTCCCCAGAGAATAAAAACTGGTTATTGGCCATGGCAGCCAAACGAAAGGCTGAGAATTCATCTCCACGAAGTCCACCATCCCAAACTCCCAACTCCAGGAGACAGAGCGGAAAGACCTCTCCAGGCCCGGTAAGTTGGCAGTGGTAGGAAGATGCATTTTCTAACTTGACAGGGGCAGACACAGATCTCTTCTCAGAAGTCAGAATGCTTTTTTTTTTTTTTGTGGATCTATTTATTCTTACGATTTCCAGATTTAGTAAATAAAAATACAAGACAAATATTGCATGGGACATATTTATACCAAAAAGTTACTTGTTATTTGAAATTCAAATGTAACTGGTTATGTTCTGTATGTTTTCTGGCAACCCTATTTAGTCCCATTAAAATCCCTTCTGTCAAGGTCCATACCCTTCAGCCCTGTTGCCTGATTCATCAAAGCCTTCTTCATCCTCCAGGATGATTTTTCAAAAGTATCTTCCCTCTCCTTTGTTTTATATTATCGCCTCCCCCACCACATCCCCTTGCTTTTTAAAAATTTCCCGCACAACCTCTTTTCATAGACAAAGCTGTAGTTCATGGGCAAGTTCCCAGCATCCATAAATAGATTTTCAACTTGTAATTATAGTTTATGATTTTTTAAATAAAGCAAAATTTAGATACTTATAAAGAAATTTAAGTGTAGAATCTTTCTAGATTTTTATGATTATTTTCCCCAATCTTTTATGATCATCTTGCTCATAGCAATGTTTTTGGCAACTTACCTGTTTCTGCATTTTTTTAAACATTTAGCTTAGTTTTACTTATCTTTTTAGGACTCATTTACGTTAGATAATTGCAAAAACAGATATTTCTGGCAGAAATAGCTTTGTGAACTGGAAAAGCAAGTGACTCATAATGGTGGGGGCAGAAGTAGCTGTGAGCATTGGGTGAGCTATGGGCATCAGTCAAAGGGAATAGAAAGCTTCTGCTACTTAGTTTGCAAGTTGAGTGGGAGGTGGGTTAAGGAAGTTTCTCCTGTAGTTCATAGTAGCTCTTTCTCTGTATTAGGGAAAAGGTGGAAGAATGATTGAAACCCATTCCAGGAATCGTGATCAGCAACATCTGCCCTTTTAAAGGGCAGAAGCTAGATAACCTTAGGCCAGTGTAGTAAGTGTTCATATCCTCCTCCTACTGTCATGAAACCTATCCTATAATTTTAGGAAAGATAAACTAGAAATATTTTAAAGATTGCTTTAAACACAAACTTGCAAGATGTTGGTACAGAATATTAAAAAAAAATGAGTCTTTCTTTTCTTCTCTCAAAATTATCACTATAGGTGATCTTTGCCCATAGCCAAAATTCCTGTTTTTTTCAGGGGAGCTGGTCCAAGCTATATGCTAGGAGAAAAGTAATTTCAATAAAAAATTGTTTTCACTAATGTGTACATATAAAAATAGTGTACTTTTAAAAATAGTGTGCTGGTCCAAGATATTTCTGGTTTATAGTTTCAATCTTTGTAGCTAAAGTTTCTTTAAAAGAATTTGTTTTTCTTGATGTTCATATTGATATTGTGGACTTCAGAAGACGGTAGTGTCTCCATTTGAGTATCTATCGCATTTGTAAATTTGGGAGAGTCACTCTGTATTTCAAAGAGAATGGTCATTGTAACCTCTCTGATTCCTATTAGGAGGCTGAACTGGTACATATTTTCTGTTCACTTGAAATGTCTGTGCCTTCCTTCCTTGCTGCCTTAAATTTTTCTATATTTAATACAAATCAACCAAAAGAGACATTGCTTTCAAAGTATTTTTAGACTGAAATCTGGCTGACTAAATACCCTTTAATGATAAGGTGCTGAGGTAACAACTGAATTCCGTCTTAGAAAATCTCTGAAATCTAAACTTTCTTCTTCTAGGTCACCATTACTCCCAGCTCCATGCGGAAAATCTGTACATACTTCCATAGAAAGCCGCAGGATGACTACTGTAGTCCAGAACAGTCAACAGAATTGTAGATTCTAACCTAAGTGAGTTAACTGAACTTTGGCCCACTGAAACAAGATTAAAAAGTACAACAGAGTGATTCTGTAACTCTGGTCTTTAAAAAAGCTGCCATTTTTTCATTTTTAGAGAAAATCCTTTCAACTCCAAAACGTACCTAGTCTGGTTCTACTACCACGGTGTGCCACGAGCAGCTTCCTTGGGATGAGTGCTGTGTTTAAATTTCATAAAGTAAGTGTGTCACTCTGTAACATTTTGAGTAGTCTTTACTTTTTAACTTATGCATCTTCTGTACAATAATGACATCCCAGCTCAGAGGCAAAAAACAAGACTTGTCTCTTGTTACTCTGAGACTTTCTGTGCACCGTGAAAAGTATCTGCTGGCCACAACAGGAGGCCTGTCTGTGAAGGCCAACTGCTGAAGAAGACCCTGGGTCTGTGCCGCCTCCAACAAATACAGTTTCATTTAAAATATATATAACCTTTTCACTACATTTTTGTGGGGGTTTTTAAGTATGTGGTAAAATGGAATGTTTAGATAAGTCCATTACTATTGAATGAGTGTTAAAATGCAATCTCTTAAGTTAAAATCATCTTTATTTTAAAAGCAGTGATAAATACCATGTCTTTGGAGAAAATAGGAGAACAACACTAGAAACCTTTGTCTTTTTTCCCCGCAAATATATCTCCCATGTGAGATCTAAGGTCCCCATATTTTTACCAAGCAATCCACTACTGTTTCTAATCCAACACTGTGTTCTAGAAGAGATCATGATTTTTGCCATTTATTAGAGTAAGATGGTTATAAAATCAGTAGTCATACACTAAAGCTGGGGATTGAAGCCAGTCCTCAGTTCTCTAAGGGCTGCAACTTTTAAAAAAAATTAAGTTATCAGATTTTAAGAAAAAGTAATGATTTCTTATTGACATTTTTATAAAAGTAGGTCTGAACTGAAAGCCCAGATTAAAAAATAAACCTTGTCTTTAACTTGATTTGGGGGATTCTCTTCATTTCCATAAAAAACAATAATCCAGTAGAGTCGAGTCAAAAAGCCATGCGATTTTCTCCAGATATTTGAGAGAGTATATAGACTGACTCTAAGTTAATAATGTGCAAAGTGTCTTGAATATCCCTTATTGATCAACATAAAATGAACCGTTGTTTTATATTTTAGCCCTTTGGAACCTCATAGAAACAAGGTCCATGTGTTAGGTATGTACTGTGTCCTTGGAAGGGAGTCTCCTAGTCATGAAACGCGATTCATTTTATCCAGATCCCTAAGGACTGAGTAGACTTTATTCGTGTTTTTAGTGTAATTTTAAAGTCTATTCTTAATGATAACCCTTTAATTCCTTTGATTCTTATAAATTAAGCTGTAACAACCAGAACTGCGTAGGTCAGTTAAGCATGGGTCCTCCTGGTTTTATCCAAGGAGAAAACTAGATAAAGGGGAGCCATAGAATTGCTGTTTTCAACACAAAATCTGCCACAGCATTAACGGAATATTTAGGAATTCTACTTATATTTGATGTTTGATTTTTGAGTGTATGACTATGGGAAGGTGTTATTTATGATCAATACCTGCCAGTAATGCTCTCTCTGATTTGAAAGCCAGTGGGGAAAAGATCATGAAAAAGAGAACTAAACATGATTTTCTTCCCGGCACATCTCCTGACAGTTCTACTGAGTGAAATTGGGGGTAAAGGTGGCTGTCAGAAACTGTGCTGAGAGTCTACAGGGTGTAACATTCCCACTTGGAAAACTAGTACTTCAAATGGGTGCCAAAGGTCAAATGTAATGAGATAATAATTATCCCTGCTCGTGTGAGTGTCAGACTTTGAGCTGCTCCTGAATAATAAAGCCCTTTAGCCTTATCTGGTGTTCTTTTCTGAGCTTTCTGCATTACCCTAGAAGCAGAGAACACGAGAGAACTGTAGTAGTAATCAAGAATCCCTTCTCCTTGTTCACTGAATAAAATTTGTTTATTCCCAAAGATATGATTTAGTTCAGACTGAAAGAGTTTTAATAAAATACATCTTGCCTGATCAGACCTTGAGCGTTTAAGATGGCTTGGATTACTTGATAAAGGAGGGTGGAGTGATGTAGTTCTTTTTCTAAACAAGTATTTCCAGCCCAAGCTTTTCCATTTGAATGTACTCCAAGCACTATTGCTACAAAGCTGTGTTAGAGTTTCCTTTTGGTTGTTTCAACAGCCCTTGATTTACTTTTCTGAGGGTTGACTAATTAGTCCTTTAAAATGTCTCTTAACCTAGGCTGCACATTTAACTGATGATAAATCAAAACCATGTATAGTTATCGCTGTTGGGGTGTCAGGAGGCAGGTCAGCCCACTATTTCCTATCCCCAGCCTTAATAACTTAAAACTTCACTAAGACTTTTGGGACACCCTGTATAGGAGGCATTTTTTTTAAAACCTCAACTCTGCAATATGGATGTCTAAAGATAACTTTTTAAAAAATGTGTGTGTTGTGTGAATTGCTTTAACCCACAGCTTAAAATTAGCCTACAGCCATGATCCTGGATAGGCTACATATCAATTTAACATATGCCTTTTTGAGAGCCTATCAAAGCAGACACACTGTTGCTCTTAGACCTGTTTTTCTGCTTTTCCTAGTCCAAGAAGAACTGGACTTCCTCTCACTGTTTGTAAAGCAAAAGCCAAGCAGTTTACAGATGTGTGTCACAAGAGAGACTGGGTGAAAATGTCGTACTAGAGAGACTGAGTTATTGTCCTCACTGTGGCAGTTAAGCTCCGGTGGTTTCTGCCTAATTCTACAAAGGGCTGCGTGCAGACCCAGGTGACCTCTGGCTTGTCAAATCGCACTGCTGCTCATATAGGTCTTCACAGGAGGTTTTTTTGCCTGCCCTTGGTGTGGATCACCATGCATCTCGGATTAACTAGTTACTCATTAAATTCTTAGGAATTATGGAAAAACCTGCACTCTGCATTAGCTCTGTAGAGATTAGTTGGGAGTTATAGGCAGGCCAAATACAGCATTTTGTTGGACATGGGGTGAGTCTAATACTTAATTACATCTGATGCCAGGAATACAAGCTCAGCTTGTTATGAGACCCACTTTGTTGTCTAAAGTGGTAGAAAAACCTATTTTATTTCTGAGCTACATTTGAGTGCACACTAAAAAGTATAAGGGGTGTTAAGGAATGACGTAAGGTAAAGTCACTTTAAAAATTATTAAGCAGCTTGTTTGGAGCAGAACGCCTACAGCAAGTATGTACAATACAAGTGAGGGGTCTTATATTAAAGCATAAGCTTATTCCATCCCCAGAGCTCATCCTTCCCACTTCCCTGCTAAGCCAGAAAAGGGGACTTCAAGGACATCTAACCAGGTTCTTTACTTTGAATTTCAAAGGTTTAATATTCCATTTATACCCTGTTTCTCTTTAATTTCCTTAACTTGCCACATGCCCTTTCCCGTTTTGACATTCTAAATAATTCAAGCCATTTTGTGGAATATGAATAACATATTTCAAATGCCTTTGATTGGAAGGCATTCAGTTCAGTCAACAGTTACTTATTCATCACCTGGGTGCCAAGCCCAGTGTGAGCCACCTGGTCTGCAGAGTTCTTCCTTTATTTTCGGTTGTCAAAAGAGTCACTTTATGGCACTTCAGTAGACTAAAGTCAGCATTTGAGGGAAAAATTTTCAAGATCAGATTTTCAAGTCCTCTGAGTGAAGTTGTTCTGAGCAGCTATGACATAGCAAGTGCTGTGTATATGCAGACTCCTCCAGAAACTTCCTTCAACTGCTACTTAAAGCACCTTTAACTTTTCAAAGTAAAATGCTTTTTTTTCATGCTTTTTTTTTAAAATATGCAGTGCTTCACGAATTTGTGTGTCATCCTTACACAGGGACCATGCTGGTCTCTGTATTGTTCCAATTTCAGTATATGTGCTTCTGAAGTGAGCACTCATGCATGTTTTATAGTCTTTACAACATTATAAATAACACTTAAAAACATGATCTCTAGACCCAGACTGCCTCGCTTTGAATTTCAGCCCTAGCTGTATGACCTTGGGCAAGTTCCTAAGCCTCTCTGAATCAGCTTCCATGGGATGGTGTGGTAATTACATGTATAGCCTTTAGGATAGTGCCTAACAGCACATAAAAGCAAATATTTATTGAACAATTACTGTTAGCTATTATTCTCATAAGGCAGGGTGGACAGGAGTTGTTAACTATTTGATAAATGAACATAAAGGTTTAAGTAACTTCAGTTCTTCTGACTCATTCATTTTTCCTACTACATTTGTGATCCTCAAATTTACGGGAACTAAATCAGAATCACCTGGGAAGCGTTTTTGGTTGTTTTTGATTTTGTTTTCTAATGTTGCCTGGGCCTCCCAGTCCTAGCACTTTTCAAAAGGAGCAAATAATCCTCTGGAAAAAAAATCTCCATTTCCCCAGGAGTTTAAGATTCATGACTCCCACCAGGCACACATGAGAATTACAGAGGTTATTTCATACAGTCAGTGTTTAAAGAGGCTAGAGTTTATAAATCTATCCTAGACTCTTAAGCAAGCCAAAGACTTTGCTCACACAAAGCCCACCCTCCCACTTCCTGGCCGCGGCCCCCCAGCTCCGCTACATTGTTTAAGATGTGTGTGTTCACCTTTGGGGAGGAAGCTGCAGCTGGTGGGCCTTTAGAGCCAAGTCTTAATCGCTTGTTAGGCTATTGTGTTCCCTGGCCAGCGAGTAGGCAAATAAGAGGTGAAGTTCAAAACAGGCCATGCTGCTCTACTGGTAGCTCTGACTGTTTAAGAATCTCAGAGTCAAACATTTGGTTGAGGAGGTTTCTTTTCTCTCACTTAATAAGAGTCTTCCCTGGGCTTCTTTTCGGTGCTGGTAGTACTTATTGCCATTATCACATTGGTGCCAAATACTGGCTGTGAAAGTTTGACATTTTGGTGGACAAACCCAACGCTGGGGTTTCAGTTGGCATCTGGGTACCAAATTGTGCTGCCACTGCTGCTATTCAAGACCCTGGTTTCCAATTTACGAGAACTTATAGAATTTGGCATTCTCTTATTAGGAGCTGGCATCTGTCCCTTGGCAAACAGTCTACCATGCTGGACCTCTTCATGGGTTTGTTCCAAATTTATCAATTTAAATGAAGCTATTAAGGGCTGATTTTTTTCTTCTGTTAATAACCTTACTTTTAAATCAGAGTCTAAAAATGATTATGCAAATGGGCCCTTCCCTAATATGTTACCAGATAATATATATTATTGAAACAACAAACTATAAATAAACCATGTGACCTTGCTGTGTTGACGTGAAGTTAGCAAATACCATCATAATACATTACCTGAAAATCATTCAGCACCAGTATTTTTCTCTTTTTAACTTCTCTTCCATCTTTTCCCCACCCCCTACAGTACATACCAACACAATTTTCTAAGAATTACTTTAAAAGAAGCATAATAGGAGGATTTATTGTTATTGAAGTATAGAGGTACAGGAACTGAAAAATTAAAATCCAGTAGGCATTGTTGCTTCTGTAATGAGTCGACAGTTGACCCAAAAGTTAATGTCAAGTTGGAAATGCTGCTTCCATAAAAGCCTTATTGGATTTAGATAGTTTTATGTGGGAGTAAGACTCAGAGTCCAAAAATCAATGTCTTCACAAAGGGGTTAATTAGCAGACAAGTTGAAATGAATATTAATAACTTCTGGGTGAGGAAGAGAATGGTTATGAACATTTCTCAGCTCCCTAATCAGGTAATGAGGTATTAGCCTTTAAGTGTGGCAACTGTAATTACCCGGTTTTGGAAAACTACCTCCTAAAACCAAGGAATGTTAAGCAACAACGTTGGGAATTACATATGGAGTGCCTGCAGGGCCAGGACAATTAGAATGTGGTTTTTTGATGATTAGGAATGGTTTCTGTTCCAGCCAACTCTCCTGTACAACAAATTGCACAAAGAGAGGATGCTGTTTAGAGTAACTTGTTGTTACCCTGTGGTGTCCTCGTGCCTTCCTGTTTACTTTGCCAGTATTTCTAATCCCACTCACATTCTCCTTTCTCATGTTATTTTGGCAAGCTGAATAGTGCATGAAGCCAGGGTTGTGAGTTTGATTCCCAAATGGGTCTATTCACTTCACTCTGTTCTGTGGCCAGAGGCAGCATCTCACATGCCTCCCCTAGCCAGCCATCCCACAAGGAGGGGTGCAGTGTTTAGGCTCAGTATAAACAAACCCGTAGTATGTATCTTCACTACACACATCCTGAAGGCATTCTGAATGCCTGTCTTTCCTCAGTTCGCCCTGTCTGAAGACCAAGTTGATAAACTTCTTTTGATCAAACTTAGATTATTTCATGTAACATGCCCGATAACCCAGTAAGTGGGTGTAATTGTTATCCACACTTTGACATCGACATTTAGATGGAAACTAACACAAAAGAAGTTCAGTAACTTGCCCAAGACACACAGCGAACAAGTGGCAGCTTGTAGACGGTCTGACTCAAGAGCCCACAGTACTAATGCCCATACCTCACAGAAAGATATCTGTCCCTGGTCCTCTATTGATTAAATACATGCTTTCCATTGTGTACACATTCAAAAGAACTCTTAAAATACTCCAAATACATTCCCTACTTGAGTAATAAAAAGTCTACTCCTTGAGGGTGGAAACCATTCTTAACTATAGGAGAAAGGTAATACATAGATCTAGAAACTTGAACCAATACTGATTAACATTTTAAGAACACAAGAAAGCTGGCGAATAGGATCAAAAGCTAGAAAAATGAAAACAAAGACACAGAAGTTAGAATTCTTTAGGAAAGAAAAAGTGAAGAAAGGCTTACCCACAAATACAAGGGTGAGAGTGAAGGATGAAGATGAGGATACACATAGTCTATGACCCAACAATCCCACTCCTGTGCTCTGGGGAAGCTCACATGCACTGGGCACATGTACAAGGATGTTCCAGCAGCATTGTTAACACTGGCCATGGGCTGGAAACAACCCAAGTGTCCACGGTAGAATGGATAAACTGGGATACTCAGAACACTATATAATCATGAAATTAAAAAACAAACTAGCTACACATGACAATGAATAAATGTTAGAATGTTGAGCAAAAGAAGCAAGGAACAAAGGAATGCATACAATATGATTCCTTTCAAACCAATGGTTAACAAACAGGCAATACTGAATTAGTGTTTGAGGGATACATATACGGATAATAAAGGCAAAACAGATGATTATTACAATAAATCAAGACAATGATTCCATCTGGAGAGCTGTACTTAGGAAATAACACATGCGGGACTTCCTAGGTTATGGCAGGGTTTTGTCTCTTGCTCTGGTTGGTGGGGACACGCATGTTTGCTCTCATTATATCCTGCATTTATGTTTTATGCACTTTTCTGTATATATTTTATGATTCACAGTGTTAAAAGGAATGAAGATGAGCTAGCTCTCGAGAGAAGACGGGCAAGAGGTGGAGATGAGGAAGTTCTAGATAGACTGGCTAATAACAATTCTTCAAAGAGAATAAGTTACTAGGGGAGCCTGTGAGATCTTGATACTTTCTAAGGAAAAAGGAAAATCTTCTGACCCCCTCCAAGCAGAAGAATGAACTAAATTGCTTCTACATATACTGTCAGGATTCAGTGTATTCATTCAGTTTAAAAGAAAAGAACTGAGCCTTCAGCAAACCATGCAAGGCTCAGACATGGGGTTGGGGGTTTTCATAACTGGGACTAAGCCAAAAGTTAGCAGAGGGAACTAATGGGGAGGATTCTCCAGCATTGCTAACAATGCAGCAGTCAGCCGCCTAAAGACTCCACACTATACATTTCTTCCATTCTCCTTAACCACTCCTGTATTTTCTTTCTCTTCCCAAAGTCAATCATCAAATCAAGACAGAAATGGGCCATAGAAATCAAATTCTTATTTTAAAGATCCAGAACTAGCCTGGGGTAGTTAACCAATATGAGCAACGTCACAAAACTGTAGACAGTGGCAGAATCCATTCTGGTATCCCACATTTTTTGCATCCAATTCCTACTGGTCTATTAGCCATTCCCCTAAATACTGTATTGTCCTGCCTTTGTTCAAGGTGTTTCTTCTGCCTGAAATAGTATTTACCCCTTATGCCTGCCTTTAAAGTCCTCGTTTTTTAAGGTCCAGTTCAAACACCCCTCTCTTCCTATAGGAAGTATTTACAGAATTTCCTAATTAAGCCTTCCTTCCACTCAACCCCACAGTGCCTTGTTTAAGCACTATAATAGTGCTCATCACATCTGTCTTGGAATTAGTCTATGTTTCCAGCCCTAGATTATACTTTCCTAGATGTCAAACAGGTCTTATTTGTTTCTGCATCCCCAGCATTATGCTAGAGCTGGCTCATATTCGTGAAAGCCAATTATTAAATATTCAAGAATTTTGTGAGCTGGTTGTTAAAACGCTGGTAGCCTGAAATCAGTCTGGTGAGAGTATTTACACCATGGAACAGACGAAAGCTACAAATCAGGGCCTTTTTTTTCCCCAGAGAGCCAGCTTATCAGCACATCACAGCACATTTCCCACCACCACCACCACCCACCCACCCACCCCTGTGCCTGGCAGAGCAGCTGCAAGAAGCATGAAGAAGAAAGGGAACCAGTGAAAGTGCAGAATGTAAAGAGAATTCACGAAGTGTCTGCTCAGGAGCCCCCGGAAGAGAATTCTTTGGGAACTGGATAGTTCACTGCTGCACAGAAGTTTATGGTAAGGCCAGCACGTCTTTGTCCTTCTCAAGAGCTATTTCAGTAGCATAATAGGGATGAAATATGGCTAGGAATGAAAAAAATAGAGGTGGTTCAAGAAATAGGTGGTAAAAAGAGATTCCTTTCAAGAAAAGAGAAAGGAGTCTTTCTCCTACTAAGTAGCTGCTTGCTGAACACCTACAATGCGTCAGGCA